TGAATTTTTGTGGAAAAGAATAAAGGTTATAATGGTTTAGCAAAATGGCACCATGAAGTAAATTTGCATGAAATTCATTGAGGACTCCATTTTGAATTGTAAGCTCATTTGGGCATGGCCTCTCTTCACCTACTGTTCCTGTATGTCATATGTGTTTTGTTAGAATTAAATGTTTGTCTTGTATCCTACAGTACCGTGCTGTGAAATTTGTTTTTGCTATATAATTAATTGCAATTGGGAAAAATGTGTGCACAGTCTCACCGTAATAAAGTAATCAGTGGAAAACTGCATGTATTTATGTTATCAAAATGGTGACGCACACTGCCCTTTTTAGTTGTTATTAAGTAAATTGATATTCTCCTTAGTTCTTCTTATGTTTTAAAAGACCGCAAACATCAATAATGTTGGCTGGAAAAAGTTCAAAACAAAAACAGAACAATTCTTTTATAATGCTTGTAAAGACAATAACATGAAAACAATTAGCATGAATTATCTACTTGATAACATATTACATGTACATCTATAAAATATCTAAATATAATTTTCCTAGCGAGCAGAGTGCTTTTGCTTAAATTGCTGCTATTCTGTGCATTATGATTTCATGTAACATAAAATGAAAATAATGACAATAATTGCCATAATGAATTGGTACGAGGCAGAAATACAACATCTAAGCAGAAAACAAGAATTATCCCACATGCCAAGCCATTTTTTTAAAATCAGTATACCATGATATATAAAACATTACGCTAAAAGCACTATAGTGGAAAACAAAAAGAACATTGAATCCTTACAGCTGCTACACTTCATGTATTCCATAGAAAAAATTATTATTTCTATTTATCAACATGTTAAGGGCTCTAAGTAAGTTTATAACGATATTGACACAATCCCAATCCCACCATTGTGATACTTTTTTCAACATGACTTGAAACATTAGCAGATCAGTGAAAAATACAGTTAGGTCCAGATATCTGGACACTGACACAAGTTTCATTATTTTGGCTCTGTACACCACCACAATGGATTTGAAATAAAACAACCAAAATGCAATTAAAATGCAGACTTTCAGCTTCAATTCAAGGGGTTGAACAAAAATATTGCATGAAATATTTAGGAACTGAAACTATTTTCATACACTGTCCCCTTATATTCTTTGGTTATGACAATTATTTTGTAATTTATTTGTTACTGGTGGTGGTTGGTTATTATAATTGTGCTGGTTCTAATAGATGTAGAGATACTATTCAGTTGATCTGTTTTTTTGTCATTGGCATCTGCTTCCCATAAATCACTGGTACCCACCATAAAGCGACACTCCAAGCAACATAACCGCAACATCTCACTGTAGTGGTTGTGTTCCCTAGAATGCCCAGATGCCAGCCCTCAGAATAATTTCAAAGTGTATATGAATAGTTTGACATAAAATGGGGCTCTTCCCCTCCTTGGCTGCATTGATAATGCAGGATCAAAACTTTCACATTGTGACTGTCAATTTTATCCAACCTGATTGGCATTAATTGGCTAATAGTGCTAAGAGTGGTTTAATAGATTGCCCTCAGCCAAACAGTGCCTTACAGGCTGTACAGAATTGTCACTGATGATGTGGAAGATTTAAGCTTGCATTATCAAAGTTGGAAAGAAGGGTACAGTTGCTGTAAAGAATTCTAAACACTTTGACATTAAATGGGAAAATGCCACCTAGACACCCTAGGCAATGGGTAGACATCATTTAGCACTCCAGATGTTGTGGACTACATATCCTATAATGCTCTTACAGGCATAATACTGGCAAAGCATTATGGCAGATGTAGTCTAAAACATATGGACTGCTGAAAAATCTGTGCAGGACAGGCAACTTAACGTCTAGAGTAATCTGTAGTGATTATGCTGCACAGACTGCCTTCTTAACATGGTAGTCAATCAGGGTTCTTCATGCATAGTTGATTTTTTTCTAATTTGTATTTTTTGGCCTAAATTTCGAAATTCACTTTTTACCAAATAACCATAAGTTACTTTATCATGGATTTATAACCATTGCTTTCTTTATTCAAAATGTCATGCGTTATGGGGATGTGGTAGTGATGACGCCATCATTTTGCTAATGTGTCTATTGTATTTTTCTTGTACCGAATGTCTCCAATAATAACTGATTTAAAATACTCACTCTTTACTCTTGAGATGCTATTCTTTCCCATGGTCATAATCATGTAAAACCATAAATAACATGCGTTTAATAACTCTTATCAGTGCAATTTAACGTTATAATCGGGAAAAAATAATCATAGTTTTTTTAAAATAACATGCCAACAAAATGAGGTTAATTTAAATAAATTTTTATTTCATGTGAATGCACAAAAGCCAAGGTCTTCATATAGATTGCAAGAGCACAGAAAACGAGATACAAACTCCATTCGTGCTCTGATGCACTGTATTTCTCTAAAGAAATCACAAATCTAGCTGACATTCCTTCTGTGATATAATTAGAACCCTCAGACACAGGCTTATCTTCATTCTGATTGGCCACAAGAAAAAAAAAAAAAGAGGTGGAGATGCATTTTTTTTTTCATTCCATTTTTTTTGCTTCTCTATAAGATCATCAGCTGCTGTGCACTGCCTGACTGAAGCTTTCTGCTCATTCATCTCAGAAAAATCCATGCATTTACTGCATTTTCTTGGAAATAATCAGACTATTACATTCTAGAAAGTTTTATTAACGTGTGTGTATATATATATAACCCATCTTGTGGGATGCCATGGTATTGAAACTTCCATACGAGAAACTGGAAATTAATATGCAATCAACAGAGAAAGTGAGGACAGTGGATTCCATGGCCATTTAAATACTAATGATGACTGTTTTATAGTTTTTCTTTATAAATTCTTGCTAAACGTGACAGATTCTGGAAAAAAGCTTCTGATAACGACATCTCTTAAACTGAACTCATTGGGGATTACAAAATGAATCACTCACATCATCATCGGATGCATTATTCCCTGCACTTTCGCAATCATACTGATATTAATGGAATACACTCTGGACACGATAACCTGGATAAAGGCAATTACTCTTCAGAATGCTATGAGCAACTCTTTGTTTCTCCTGAAGTATTTGTTAGCCTTGGAATTATAAGCTTTCTGGAGAATATTTTGGTCATCGCTGCAATATCTAGAAATACAAACTTGCATTCGCCTATGTATTTCTTCATCTGTAGCCTGGCGGTGGCTGACATGCTTGTGAGTGTGTCTAATAGCTTTGAAACTGTAGTGATCACACTAATAAATACCACTGATAAGAAAACAGAGCCTCTTTTTGTGAATCTTGACAACATCGTCGATTCAGTGATTTGCAGCTCTTTGCTTGCATCTATTTGTAGTCTCCTATCTATTGCAGTGGATAGATACTTTACTATATTTTACGCGCTGCAATATCACAATATTATAACAATGAGGAGAGCAGTGGTCATTATAACTTGCATCTGGAGTGCTTGCTCGGTTTCTGGGATCTTGTTTATCATTTACTTTGACAGCAATGTTGTCATCATATGCCTCATCAGTATCTTCTTTACTATGTTGGTCCTGATGGCTTCCCTTTATGTACATATGTTTATGCTGGCAAGGCTTCATATGAAGAGAATTGCAGTCCTGTCTGGGACAAACTCTCTTAGACAAAGTGCTAATCTAAAAGCAGCAGTAACAATCACTATCCTACTTGGAGTGTTTGTAGTTTGCTGGTCACCATTCTTCCTGCACCTGATATTTTACATTTCATGTCCAAGGAATCCTTACTGTTTGTGCTTTATGTCACATTTTAATATATACCTTGTTCTTATCATGTGTAACTCTGTCATTGATCCACTAATTTATGCTCTACGAAGTCAAGAATTAAGAAAAACCTTAAAGGAAATGATTTGCTGTTATTGTATGAGTGGAATCTGTGAATTTGGAAGCAGGTATTAATTGCGCATGAATAAACTTCAATGTAGTTTATTTATAGATTAGCTAATTTAGACCGTTATATCATCATCGACTTCTTTATGGCTCTGCAAGTGGAATTCAATTGTGACACTACTGGTTCAGACATACTTAACCCCTTAAGGACCAAGCTTCTGGAATAAAATGGAATTATGACATGTCACACATGTCATGGGTCCTTAAGGGGTTAAACAAAGAATAAAGGAACCTTGAACATAGTAGTTCACATTCTATGTACAGTGTGAGAACTGAAGATTTACACTAAATGGACAAACTTACTGAAACACCTCGCCATTACACCAACACGGACATTTATTACATTGCATTCTAAATACATATATATTAATATGCAATGTGTCACATCTTTGCAGCTATAACAGCTTCCACTCTTCTGGGAAGGCTTTCCACAAGATTTTGGAATGTTACTGTAGGAACTTGTTTCCTATCCAGTAGAGCATTTGTGAGACCAGGCACTGATTTTGGACAAGAAGGCCTGGCTTTCAATCTCTGTTCCAGTTCATTCCATAGGTGTTTGAGGGGGTTGAGGTCAGGGATCTGTGCAGGACAGTCAAGTTCTTCAAAACCAAACTCATCCAACCATTTATTTATGGATCTTGTTTTGTGTACTAGGGCACAGTCATGCTAGAATAGAAAAAAGGCATTCCACAAACTGTTCCAACAAAGTTGGAAGCATAGTATTGTCCAAAAAGTTTTGTCATGCTGAGGAATTAAGATTTCCCTACACTGGAAATAGCCAGCATAGCCAAACCACTGAAAAACAGTCTCATATGATTATCCCTCCTCCACCAAACATTACAGTTGACACAATGCAGTAAGGCAGGTAACATTCTCCTGGCATCTGCCAAACCCAGAGTCCCCAATCAGACTGCCAAACAGAGAAGCTTGATTTGTCACTCCAAAGAACATGTTTCAACTGAGTGCAGTGGTCTGATGCGTGGCATTGTACTTGGTGATGTGAGGCTTGCATGTAGCTATTTAGCCATGGAAACAGATTCCATGAACATCCTGACGCACATTTTTTGTTCTGATATTAATGCCAGTGGAAGTTTAGAACTCTATGGAATCAGCAAAGCATTGGCAACTTTTACAGACCATGCACCTCAGCTCTGTGACCCCGCTCTGTAACTTTACATGATTTTCTACTTCATGGCTGAGTTGCTCTGTTCTTAAACGCTTCAACTTTCATGAACTGACTTATTGCAAAGGAGGCATCCTATCACAGTCCTTTGACAAAGGCAATTTTTTCGAAATGTTGGGTTTTCAGTCATTTTTTTTCTTTGCTTTCGTATACCTTGCCTCTCATGCTGTTTTCTTGTGTTATCTGTTTTTTCTTTTGGTTTGTATTCAAAAACCTTTTCATGGCTATTTTTGATAGTTTTTGTGCTTTTTTCTTTGGATTTGTTTTGTGTTCATTGTATATATGTTATGACTTTATACACCTGTGGCATTGGGTCCATTTATAACACATGAAGTAAAAAATTAAGACGTGTTCCAATACGTTTGAGCATATAGTGTATATACGTATGTGAATGGTACTTGTTGGCATGTGTGTAGGAACTCTAAAAATCTGGTGTAGCTTTTAAGAACATATGTTTAACTGTTTAAGAAAGTTAAGAAAAAATAAAAAAAAATAAGAAATAAGGATATTTCCCATGCTACTAATAGACTCTCTAGTGATAATATATAATTTTGCTTATCAAAATCAGCATGGTTTATTGCAGGGATAGGATGTTGTAGACTACATTTCCATTGGTGCTTTGCCAGCATTATAGCTGTAAGAGCATTATGGGAGACGTAGTCCACAACATCTGGAATGCCGAAGGTTGCCTACCTCTGGTTAATTTATGCTCAACCTGAGGGGCAGGGATTATTATAAAAGGCTGCCACACATTTCCAGATTTTTTAAAATGTATTTCCTTTGCCAGTGCATATTTATTATATTTGTATGGTAAAACTGGTTATTGTTTAAATAACTATGGTGGACTTATGTATGGGTGAATTATTATAAAACTACTTTTGTTCATTTAACCTCTGTAGCAGGAGCAATTAAATGAACACTCAAAGCACAAAAAACACTTCAGCGTGCTGTAGTGGTTATGGTGTTGGATATAACCTGTTGCCACCCAATGTAAGCAGTCAAACTGTTTGCTAAAATGCACCTTTTCTTCCTCTATGGACAGCTGAAAGCTCTTGCTCTCTTGATGTAAGCCCTGCAGAGAAGGCAGCTGATCATACTCCGCTAATGAAAAATGTCCTTCCCTACTGGACTTAGCTCAGAGCAAAGAGCTTCCAGGTCTCTATACAGAAAATGACAATCACCCAGAGGAACCCAGGTAAGAAGTAAAACCATTAGCAAACTGTTTGATTACTTACATTGGGGGTACTAGGATACGCTTGAAGCCATAACTACTGCAGTGCACTGTGTTCTTTTAAAGGGTTTTCTTTTTTGATACTAAACAAATTTTGCTTTACAATGCCGTATGGGGCATTACTAATAGGTTCCCCCTTAACACTGTTATACAGATTCTAAACTTACCTGACATCCAGCTCCAGGTGAAACTCCTGGCGATTATCTCCGTTCTCTGTCTTACATCATCACTACACTGACGCAGTTTATTCACAGACTTCTCATAGAGAAGCCTTTGTTTGGATTGTTTACCAGTTCAGAGTGTATACACACTATCTGAGCCGGCGAGTGGAGGAGGAAGGGGTGTAAATTTTACATTTCAAAAAACAAACAAACCTCTATTTATTTAATAGCTGGAGCGAACGCACACAGGGAAAGGGGGGAAGTGATCGTGTCCTTGCAGGTGACCTAATGTTACAGTTTGTTAACAAGAGTACTGAAATAGCAGACCATGGTTTTTCTTTTTTTTTTTCTAGCTCCTTCCACTGTGAAATAGATACCAGGGCCCCAAATTAATTAGGGGTAACATGTGCAGTTCCCTCCCTAATACATTTTTATGTATAAATGGTGTCCCAAGGATCCCACCCATTTAAGGATAAGCCCCACCCATTTATTTATATGCTTCCCTCCTAGCCCCACTATCTGGTAGATTGCCAAAGGGATGTGTATTTCCCTATATTACAGGGACACTCCATTGCCCAGATAAATAAATAAAAAGGGCAGCATCAGTGGCGGAACTACAACGGTCGCAGGGGTCACAGCTGCGACTCGGCCCGTCACTTCAGGGGGCCCGGACACCCTGCGGTCCCCTGCAAACGGGGATCCCGCCAGCTGAGTGATGCGGCCGAATTAAAGAGGCCCATCGGGACTGCCCCGGTCACTTCCTCCCAGCAACCACAAGAGCCGCGCGGAAGGAGGGAGAGGGAGTCAGAGTGGGAACTCTGACTCCCATCAGCCTGAGCCACCACTGGACCCCAGGGAAAGGTATGTGTGTCTGTATGTGAGTGTCTGTATGTGAGTGTCTGTATGTGTGTGTATGTCTGTATGTGTGTGTATGTCTATCTGTGTATCATTATGTGAGTGTGTGTATGTCAGTCTGTGTGTGTATGTCTGTGTTTCTGTATGTGTGTGTCTGTCTGTATGCATGTGTATGTCTGTCTGTGTGTCTGTATGTGTGTGTATGTCTATCTGTGTGTGTATGTCGGTCTGTGTGTCTGTGTGTCTGTATGTGTGTGTCTGTGTGTGTGTGTGTGTGTGTGTGTATGTCTGTGTGTGTGTGTGTATGTCTGTGTCTGTGTGTGTCTGTCTGTGTCTGTGTGTGTATGTGTGTGTGTGTGTGTGTGTGTGTATGTCTGTGTGTATGTGTGCTGTGTGTGTGTGTGTCTGTGTGTGTGTGTGTGTATGTCTATATGTGTATTTGTTTACATGTGTGGGGGGAGGGGGTAACGTATGGGAGAGGGATGTTGAGGGTTGATGTACAGGGGGACAATTTTAGTACCAGGGTCCCGTGGTTTCTAGCTACGCCTCTGGCCAGCATCTATACAAGCCAAACATATGTACACAATGCTCCATCCTTCACAGTATAAAATCAAGCTATTATCCCAAAGGACTACATTTTTATTGGACCCACAGTGTACGGCAGCTTCCGTGAGTCAGTCAAGTTCTATAAAATATTGGACTGATCTGGGCTTGGGTTCCTGAGAGGGAGTTCATTAGATGGGGCAGAGGCCAATGGTGCATACCAGGCCCAACTCCCTAGCTTCCTCAGACAAATCCAGCTTGGGGGAGGATGTGAAAGACTCACATGTAGGAAGAGTGAGCTTTGCAGAGTAATTAATACATTCAATGCATAAAGCGCTGTTGAAGAAGTTGAATGCTTGAGACACACAGAAGAACAAAAGGGACAATAAGACACATGGGAGGAAACTCAATGCTCGGACGGGAGAGGACGAAAATCTCTCAATCTTGGAGAAAGGAGTAAACACACGGCTCCATTTCTGTGAATAAAGAGAACAGCTTGTGAAAAGATAATGGAGGCACAGAAGTCGTTACCATGTAGCAACTGAACTTCAATCTTAAACTTTCTATTTCAGTGTAACATTGTGTATATTTGTATCTAAGTAAACACTTATAAAATCACTCTGTTTGTGCCTTTACTGCATTAGTACTCTATGTGATTGGCTGGAGTACCTATTTAAATACTGTAATGCGTTGTGAGAGCAAAATCTATTTAATTACTCTCAAACATGCATAAATATTTATTTATTATACATTTTTGCTGCAGTTTTTGATTTACAATATTTTTACATTAACAAAATGTAATTGTTAATATTCATATTTTTTCATTTCATACAGCACATCAGGCCAGTGCCAACTTAACTTCCACCTCTATATCCGAGGGCAGTGCTCCATGTAGAAAAAGCCAACCTTAAGGTTTTATATATTGATATCTGCAAGAAGTTCTAGTCTGACATGCTGATTGCCTGGAAGGAGGTGGCTATGCTGACAGGCAGCATAATTGTAGTGGTGGAGGACCTGGGAGGAAGTCAGGTTGTTTCAGACCTCTACCAATGCAGTTATTGGGGAGCTCCAGAAATGCTACAAAGATCTGGTAAAAAGTGTGGTCCCCCTGGAAGAACATGAACCATTCAAGTTTGAGGAATGCTCCAATCATAGATGGGGAACTTCCACATTATATTTGAAAACTCATTGCTTCCCTACTACTACTTAAGTTAACCTTTTTACTCCCATTTTTACTAAATGGCTATGGAGAGATGCCTTTGACTAGTTAAAGCTGCTAGACCCCCACCAGTGGTCCCAAGGGACATTTTATTACGATTTCAAACAGAGCCAGACTTATGGGAACCCCAACTCCTTTTTTTGCAAAGATTTGTTTCAGCATACTGTATAATGTAGGCACACATTTCACCAAATTAAAAAAAAAAAATCTTACATGACAAAAAGAAATCCTACAGGTGGTGGGGCATTTGCGACCTGCTAAAGATCGATGTTCTGTTACTATAACCCAGTTATTTGAGACCCTAAGCTTCCTGAAATCCTAGGGATTACCCAATGATTTGCTGCCTACTCTTCTACTCTAGAGATGTATACCATCTGCAATATGGTTGCAAAAGACATAGCCAATTAATGTGACATACAATTGAAGATTATGCTAGCTTTAGTGTACTAATAATCGTAATTTTAGTAATGACAGGAGGTGAGTATTTTGCATAATCTCTCTATACTAGCTCCACACAGCAGCAAAGAAACATATAGAAAAAAGAACCAATCACAAGGGAGTAGGATGTACAGAGTTTCACACGAACAACAAAATGTCTTCAGGGACGAATCATATTGAAAAGAGAATGTGTGACAGGTTTAGACACAAAGTCATGAACATGTAAGTCCACGTAAACATCATCCCATAGAAGAATATTGTAAACTACAATCTAATAACTGAATAACTATAATGTAAAACTCCAATGAGAATTCCAGATTAATGGAAATACAATCATTAATGTAAGCACAAAACATTGAGAGCCAAACCTACCTTAGACCCATGATACATGCAAAGAAAACGAACAGAAAGGGTGGGTAGCGAAGCAGGGATGGAAAATACTCGTCTCCTGTCATTACTAAAATTAAGATTATTAGTACACTACAGCTAGCATAATCTTCAATTTTACAACATGACAGGAGGCTTTGTATTTTGCATTTTTAACACTGAGAAAGAAATAGAAAATTAATGAAGAAGCCAAAATTGCGACGGGATACCTAGCACGTTGGGTTTACGGGAGAAACCTCCCCGTCGAATGCCCGATCATCCGGAAAGCCACCGGTCCAAGCAAAAGTCCATCAGTAGTTGCCCCAGTCCCATAGAAAAAAACGAAGAACGACCTCCACGTCCCATGAGCCAGAGCTGGATGTCACTGGGTAACTAGTACATACGTTTTAGGATCCTTGTCCATCGGGAGTCCCCAGACCGGGACACAGGCCATAGAGCTGTCCAAACCGTCCCATAATGGATAAAGGTACAGTTCCAGACATCAATCAGACTGGGAATGCCCAGAGGTCATTGTTACGTCCCTGGGGCCCAAGAGACTCCCAAGCAGTACCTAGCAGCCTGTGATAGTTCGCCGACCTGCCAAGGACCCAGCAAGAGTCCCAGCCACCCAGGTCAGCTGACCCTACAGGAAGAGAAGATGCAGGTTTCCTTCAGATCTGTGAGAATAGTAGGATATGAATGTAGGAGGAGGAGATCCTCACCAGTCAGTCCCGTAAGGTCCGAGAAAGAAGGTTGACTCCGGCACAGCGGGACGGCAAAGGTGGTGTTGTTCGCTGAACAATGAGATGATGGAGATGTTTCGCAATCATCACAAGGGAGGAAAAAGCATATGTCCCCCGGGGAGGCCCAGGTGGCCGGAGTGCGATCACTATTGTGCACCCTTGTGCAATGTGCCAATTGAAGAACACCTCATTCTGATATGTCTCTCCCCCGGAAGGTAGGCCAACCTCTGGGTTCTGCGAGGAAGGCAGGAATCAAAGATTTCATGATGTCTGATAGAAGACGGGGGTTAGTTCTGTCCAAGCGCTCGGTATACCTGACTGTCCGTCTGTAGTAGGATGCAACTGGCGGAGTACTCCTTTACCAGGCAGAGGATAGTGAAGTACTGCACAAAGAATGCTAGGTCTGCAGCGTGAAGGGAGAATTCCTGCATTGTGAGCCTGTTTCTGTGGGTGTGGTCTAGTAGGTTATCCTTGCAGCACCTTGCCCCACAAGCTGGCATCCGACTACAGAGCGAAGTCCGGTTGATCGTAGGGGTCTGTCTGAGTGAACCTGACCAGGCCTCACTGCCAGTCCTGGTAACGTAGTAAGTCTGGGAATATGACCCGCATGGAGGAAGGTAGTATCCCACGATCTGGGTGAGTGTATGTAGGGTCAGGGTGTTGCAGTGAAGGACCGTGTGAAAATTCCTCGAGGATAGAGGAGACCTATGTCGTTGATGCGAAAGGTTCCTTATTAGGTTTGAATGCCTTCCGCCTAGATACGATGGAAACTCCTGTGGGCGGAGTAGAAAGTACAGTGGATGGTAACTTAAAGGTGTTAAGCTGAGGAAAAATGGTATGTAGTGCATCTGCGCATTCTGTGTTCTCTGTCCGATCGTCCGTAGCACCTGAGATTGACTCTCGCTCCTCCCGGGTAATAACGTTAGCGATAGCGGGTTATATGGTCAGATGTCACAAAGTGTGCCTTGTGCCTGGGGTCCCAATGATTTGAGGCCCAGATCCGCCAACCATTCGTCAATACGAAGGAGTGCTGCTATGCGCTTCCCATAGGAGAGGCGAACACTGGGGTTTTTGATGAACGGACACATCTCAGACTCCATTCACGAACATCGGGAGCCCATTCTCGGACTTTGTTGGCGTATTCCAGTATTTTACCCATGATAGGGTCCAGCAGTTAGTCTTGGGTGTCTCTGATACCTCTCCTGGTTCCCTTGCGGAGTCGTGATTGCCCAGAGCCCTGAAGAACATCATCCACTGGTCTGTGCCACTCCGTCCAGGAGGGAAGGCATGGGTCGTCTGACCCCAAGCATTTATGGACATCATGTCTAGAGGCTACAAAGCCACAGGTGCATAAAGTAGCCAGGCGATCGGGAGAGGACCGGTCTCTTGAATGTGGGTGAAGGATGTGTAGGTTACACAGCCATTGACCAGTAAGCGTGCAAGGCACCATCATCTTAGTTACATGGAAATCCCCCAGAGAGAAATAGGCAGGTAGTTTTATCATGATATGGCATACTCCTGTAGAAGGCACAAACCAGTAGGCAGTCTAAGGATGAGGGGCAAACAGATCAGCCTACAATAGTAGTAGGTAGTGTTCACAGAAAGAACTAAGAACACCCTAAGGTATAGATATCCAGGAACTGAGAGATAGATAGATCTAATACTGATATGGAGGAAATGAAGTAGATATAACCTCAAATATACAGTCTTAAAAACAGAATTATAAAATACAATTCAGACTAGCTTAACG